CCCCACACACACACACACACCCCACACACACCCCACACACACTCCACGGCTCTGGAGCCCAGCCACCCATGTCCTTCTCATCTCGGGGACAGCGCCTACTCAGGTCCCCAAGGGCCAGGAGGGAATGGCCAGAGACTGCCCGGAACCAGCCACAGGCTGGGACAGCGGGGTCCCCACAGCGGAGAAGGGGTGGAGCTGGGTGAGGCAGCAGGACAGGGGAGAGCCTCGGACCTGGGACTCGCTGGGGGAAGGTGCAGCTTGCAGGCCGGAGGGCCCCCCTTCAAACGCCTCAGCCTACATAGAAGGCGGGCACTGTGGCCTCCCGGAACCCACCCTGGGGAGACCTAGACAGGGGGTGTCTGGGGCTCACCGGCCAGACGCCCAGCCCAGTCAGGGCTCAGTGAGACCCTACCTCCAAATAAGTGGGCAGGGCTGGAGAGAACGCTCAGCGGTTAGAGCACCCCCTGCTCTTGCTAAGGACCCGGGTTTAAGTCCCAGCACCCACAGAGCGGCTCACAACCCCCTGTGACTCCAGCTCCAGGAGACCTGTCGTCTCTTCTGTCCTCCTGGGCACCAGGTACAAAGATGGAGAACAGACAGACACACATGCCGGTAAACACACACACACACACACACACACAAAATAAAATAAAAATAACTTTACAAATAAGGAAGGGCATAGAAGTATGCTACTCCCAGACTCGGGGGGCAGAGGCGAGCTAGCCTGGTCTAGACAGTTGAGAGCGAGGCCAGCCAGGGTGCACAGGAAGACCGCGGAAGACAGCCGACATGGACCTCTGGCCTCCTCACCACACAAAGGATAGCTCTTCTCCTTTCCCAACAACGGGGGGGGGGGGGCACAAGGTCACACCCCGGCTCCCCGAGTCTGATCTCAGTGCCCTGGTGGTCACATGGTGGGCTCAGCATGACAGGGTCACGCTGAAAGGATTCCGCGGCCAGGCCGGGTCACCGGGGCAAAGCCGTCTTGTGATTCCCCATCCAGAGGCCTAAACTCACCTTAGCCAGGACACTTTCGGAGGAGGAATCTCCTGGCAGGGCTGAGCTGGGGCCAGGCCGGGAGGAGGGAGGAGGGAGGAGGGGGAGGGAGGAGGAAGGGGGAGGTGGGTGAGTCCCTTTTCCTGGCCCCATGAGAGCCAGTCTCAATGTCAGGGTCAAGCCAGGGGACACAAACTCGGAGGGATATTTTTAGGGATAGAAAGGTGTGACTGGAGAGGAGGGGGAGGAGGGGGAGGGAGGAGGGGAGGCAGACAAGGGTGTGGGGGAGAAGGTGGCTGCTGTCCCTCTGTCCCTCCAGCTCGTGACTTTTTTAGGCAAAAGGCTACTGAAGCTATTTGCAGCTTAGGGAACAGGTGCTCACCCCGATGCTTGCAGGGCCTCCTCCCCCGGGGCGGCCTCCAGGCTGCCCTAAGCTATAAAGGCCGTACAGCCTGGTCAATGAAGCCGGGACTACTCGGAGGAGCACACTGCGGGCCACAAGCAGCTGCAGCGTGGCCACCTCAGGACCAGTCCCCGCTGCCAGGCCCCAGCATGAAGCTCATCGTGGGTATCGGAGGGTGAGCCCCGGGGCCGGGGAGGGGAGAGGTCCAGAGACACTGGGCAGCATCGCCAGCTGCCCGTGCTCTGAGCACTTGGGACAGTTGGCTCGAGGGACATGGGACTTGTCATGGGACATGCCACAGAGGGCACAAGGGACTGTCCGCTGGGGACTTAAAAACCCGCAGGAAGAGCTGGGTCCGGTGGCGCACCCCTTTAATCCCAGCACTCAGGGAGGCAGAGGCAGGCGGATCTCTGAGTCCCAGGCCAGCCTGGGCTACACAGAGAAACCCTGTCCCGGGGTTTGGGGAGCAGCTGCGCGGACTGAATAACGCGAGTGTCACTCTGAACAAGGAACACTGTTGTACTTTGCTCTGGAAGCGTGTGTGAACCAGGGCCCCGGGCATTCACCTCGGCGCTGGGCTTGGGGCCTCGCCCTCTTCACCTTGATTTGGAGCAGCTGTCATGCAGGGTTGCTCTGAACTCACTCTGTAGCACAGGCTGGCCCAGAAGTGAGGATCCTCCCGTCTTAGCCACTAGCTGGGGTGACCAGCGTGCGCCTCCATGCCCGAGACAAGCGTTTTCTAAGGATTCCCACGAGCAGCCGTGCTCGCCACCACCTCCACCAAGCCCGCTCGGGCGGAGAACGACGTCCCCGGGCTCCAGGATGGCTGAGGGCGACCTGAGTGTCCACCTCAGTCACCCCGGAGACCAGCACCATGCCCTACTGCCCCGGTGTCCGAGGCAAGAGCTCCACCCTGACCACGCCCCCAGCCCCTCACTGGGGGATTCTAGGCGGGCCTCCACCCTGACCACGCCCCCAGCCCCCACGCCCCAGACACACAGGAGATCCTGGGGAGGGGCTCTTCCTGACCACGCCCCTCGCCCGGTTTTCACTTGGTTCTGGGACCGGGCTTCACCAAGTTGCCCAGGCTGCCTCTGAACTCCTGTCCAATCTGCCTTCCCAGACTGGGCATTTGGCTCTTCGCCACCAGGCCCCGTTCGTTGGGCAGATTTAGGGAAACATTGCTTAGGCCAGCAGGATGGCTCCGCGGTGGAAGCTCCTGCTTCGGAGCCTGATGGCCCGAGGTCAATGCCCAGGACCCACGCTGGTGGGAGGAGACTGGATCTCTGTAGGCACGCGCACACGGACATGCACACACGTACACACAAGGAAAGGCGCGCACACACGCGCGCGCGCACACACACACACACACACGCACGCACACGCACACACACACGCACACACGTCACCCACCTGGGCCAGGCTGCTTAGGAGCACGGGACCGGCCCCTCTGTGGCCTCACTCACGGTCCCTTCCAGCGTGACCAACGGTGGAAAGACCACCCTGACCAACAGCCTCCACAAGGCGCTGCCCAACTGCTGCGTGATCCACCAGGATGACTTCTTCAAGGTGGGGACGGGGCCGGGGAGCGGGGGGCCGGGCGGCCCCCCGGCCTCGGGGCCCCGTGCGGGGAACCCCAGGCTGATGGAGGGCGGGGTGGCGCGGGCCCACGAGGCACGAGGGGATTGCTTCTCACCCGTGACCCCTCGTGCCGCTGCTTTCCCTCCTGCGCCATGGGCTCCGAGGGGAAGAGTGACCTCCAGGGCACTCGGGGCCCCGGAGCCCCCTCCCCGGGCTCGCCGTGGGGTCACCCCGGAGGGACGAGGTCCCCGGGGGGGGGCGCAGGTGTGAGCTGGGGGTCCTGTGTTTCAGCCCCAGGACCAAATAGCAGTCGGGGAGGACGGCTTCAAACAGTGGGACGGTAAGAGCGGCCCCGCCCCCGCCCCCGCCCCCGCCGCGCCCCTTGGCGCGGGGTACCCCCCCCCGCTCTGAACCCCGATGTCCGTCCCGCCAGTGCTGGAGTCCCTGGACATGGAGGCCATGCTCAGCACGGTGCGCGCCTGGACGGAGGATCCGCGCAAGTTCGCGCGCGCCCACGGCGTCCGCCTGCGCCCCGGGGCCGCGGACAGCCACGTGCTCCTCCTGGAGGGCTTCCTGCTCTACAGCTACAAGTGAGCGCCGCCCCGGGCCCGGGCACCCGGAGGGGTACCGGGCGGCCTCGGGGGCGCGGGGGCGCGGGAGCGCGGGGGCGCGGGAGCGCGGGAGCGCGGGGTGGGGACCGGGCGGCCTCGGGGGCGCGGGGGTGCGGGGTGGAAACCAGGGCAGCCTCGGGGGCGCGGGGGCGCGGGGTGGGGACCGGGGCGACCTCGGGGGCGCGGGAGGGGGCCGAGGGGGTGGCCTTGGGGCGCGGGGTGGCCGCGGGGGCGCGGGGGCGCGGGGTGGCGACCGGGGTGGCCTCAGGGGCGCGGGAGGGGGCGAGGGGGTGGCCTCGGGGGGGGGGGGGGGGGGGGGACCGGGGTGGCCTCGGGGGCGCGGGGAGGCCGCTGACCGCGCCCCCGCTCCTCCCCCCGGCCAGGCCCCTGCTGGACTTGTACAATCAACGCTATTTCTTGACGGTCCCATATGAGGAGTGCAAGCGGAGGAGAAGGTGGGCTGCCGCGGGCCCCGGGGGGTGGGCAGGCTCGTCCGTGCCCCCTGCTCTGACGCCCACACCCACGCTCCCCAGACAGACAGCCCGCCTAGCGGCGTGAGTGACCCCCGTCTGCGGTGCCCGGCTCTGCCCTGAGCGCCAGGGCCCCTCGACGGGCCCGTCGCCCCCTTCTCTCCGCAGCAGCCGCAGGTACACGGTCCCTGACCCCCCCGGCCTCTTCGACGGTCACGTGTGGCCCATGTACCAGAAGTACAAGCGGGAGATGGAGCGGGACGGAGTGGACGTGGGTAGGAGCCGGGAGCGGGCCCTGCGGGGGCGCCTGGAAGTCCCTCTGGGTCTCACCCCAGTCTCGCCGGCTGCTCCCCCCGGCGCCACCGCCCTCCCCCCGCCGCCCGGCGTGACCAGGCCTCTCCCGGGTTCAGTCTATCTAGATGGCACGAAGTCCCGTGAGGAGCTCTTCCATCAAGTCCTAGAGGGTGTTCAGAACAGACTGCTCAACGCGCGCTAGCGGAGCCCAGGCAGGACAGCCGCGGGCCACCTTCCGGCGGGGCGGCCGGGCGGTCTGTGCGTAGGAGGAGGTGTGGGCGGGGACAGCCGGAGACTTTGTAGCGACTCTGCATTAAAGGGAACCCTGTTTTTTAACCCCTGTGCACTGCGTGGTCTCTGTGAGTGGGTGAGTGGGAGACAGCCTCTGGGGATGATGCCAAAAGCCACGCACGTTGTCAGCCTTCACTTCTCCCTAACGTTCTCGATGTACCTCAGTTTCCCCAAGAGACGTTTCCCATGAACTCAGCTAAGAGAAAAACCACCTCCCCCAATGTGGACAGGCACAAGGCCTGTAGGACCCGAGGGCACGCGGCAAGGGGTGTGTCCGGCTCTGTCTGAGAAGGTTGGAATTATAGAGAGCTCCGGAGGGAGTCCTGAGAACGGCGTCTCTATCACCCCAGCCGCCCTCTACCCGGTTCTAGGACCCAGTTCTCATGCTGAAAGGTTATTTAAAATTTCCCATGGTAGCCCAGGTAACGCACACGCCTCGCCACGGAACCTAGCACGTGTCCTCTCCCACCACCAGACGCCTCCCGAGCTGTGCCTCATGTGACGTTTTATTACTTGTGTCCACTTCATGAAAGGAGAAACTTAGGCTCAGAGCATCTCGTTGGTGCTAGAAAGGGGGGGGGGGGGTTTTCCAGATATTCCATTCTTTTGTCTGAGGGCGACACCTCATGGCCATCTGTGGAATTGCAATGACAGAATCCTATTTAGGTATAGGGAAAAAACTATAATGGTACAAGGGTGGATGGATGGATGGATGGATGTTTGGTGGATGGATGGGTGAGTGGGTGGATGGATGGATGGATGGATGGGTGGGTAGGTGGGTGGGTGGATGGATGGATGGATGGGTGGGTGTATGGGTGGGTGGATGGATGGGTGGATGGATGGATGGATGGATGGGTGGGTGGGTGGATGGATGGATGGATGGGTGGGTGGGTGGATGGCTTGAGTGTTGGCTACATAGCAAGTCTGAGGCCTCCTTGGCTTCATGAGACTTTGAAAATAAAGTAACATAAAATAATAAAATAAATTATTATTTTTCTCATTCCCCCCTTTTTTGAGACTGGGTTTCTCTGTGAAGTCCTAGCTGTCCTGGACTTGCTTTGTAGACTAGGCTGGTCTGGAACTCAAAGATCTGCCTGTCTCTGCCTCCCAGGTGCTGGAATTAGAGATGTGTACCACGATCCGGCTTTTGGATTCCATTTTCTAGCCCATGAACTGAACTTACAGACTTCCAACGTAAGGGCGTTTTGCTTCGCTTTGTGTGGGGGCGGGGGCCACTGTAGCTCAGATTGGGCTGGGACTCCTGTGCACATTTCCATTTCCCTCTTCACCCACCCAGTATCCGTGAGACCCGCCTCCCGCTGTGACAGGTGTGGGGCTTCCTCACACTGCAGGTATGGAGATGAAGATGACCCCAGGCTGCGGAGGTCATGTGACCGACATGGGCGGGAAGGGTTGTAGCACAGCAGCAGCAGGGATGGGGCGAAGCTGAGACCCAGAGCTGCAGCAGCTGTCACCAGCCCTCGGCCTCTGTCCCAGGCACGCTCTGTGGCCGATCATCTGCTCCCTTCCCCCGAAATAGTTCATCATGGGACAGGGACATAGGAGAGGTGGCTTCGGGGCAGCCAGCATCCTGCCTGGCCACTCAGACGCCCTGGACATGAACTGGGGGAGGCGGAGGGGCTGGAGGGGTGGCTCAGTGGTTATAACACTGGCTGCTCCTGCAAAGGACTGGGATTCAGTCCTCAGCACCCACATGGTGGCTCCCAACCATTTCTAACTAAAGCTCCAGGAGGGCCTCTGTGGGTACCGCGCACAGACAAAAATTCGGGCAAAATGTCTATACACACAATGGGGAAAAACTGAAAAGGAATAAATTGGGGGCTAGCAAGAGGGCTCAGCAGGCAGAGGGGCTTGCTGCCGAGCCTCCAGACCCTCGCGGTGGAAGGAGAGAAGCCTTCCTACACGATATCATCTGACCTCACACATGCCTGTTCATGCACACATGTGAAAACACACAGGCACACACACAGGAACATACATGCACACACAAGCGTGTGCGCACACACACCTAATACAAACGTTTTGAACGCTGAGACCAGTGTCGGTCACTGGCTTGCTCGGGCTCCCCAGAACATCCCGTGTCCTCAGGGCTCCCCTGCCCTCCGCTCAATGGTGGGGGGGGGGGGCTGCATCTTGAGGTTTGGCTTGCTGCTTGTCTCTACTGTGCACTGCTGCCTGCCAGGCCTTCCTCAGACCCTGGCGTCCTTGGGAAAAGCCCCTCACAGCCTCTCCAGAGTGAGAGAGAGTCCCAGGGACAGCCGCCTACCCCCAGCTTGTCCCGTCACCCACTCAGACAGAGCCAAGCTCCCCACAAACACTCCAGATGTCACCAGAGTCCCTGAGGGGGTGGGACAGTCGGGCAGGCTCGGACACCCTGGTGTCGCAGCCCAGAGGGACAGTGAGTGCACAGCTGAGGATACCGAGGCTCAGGCGACACAGACCTTGTCCAAGGCTGGAGAGGTAGCTCAGAGGTTAAGAGCACTGGCTGACCTTCCAGAGGTCCTGAGTTCAAGTCCCAGCAGCCACACGGTGGTTCACAACCATCTATAGTGAGATCTGGTGCCTTCCTCTGGCCTGAAGGCACACACACAGGTACAATGCTGTATAAATAATAAATAAATAAATCTTTAAAAAAAAAAAAAGTGCGCTCAGGCTGGGCATTCTGACACATGGCTACCACACAGAGGGGACGCAGGAGGATCAAAATCTCAAGGCCATCCTTGGCTATATAATGAGGCTAGCCTGGGTTACATGAGACCCTGTCTGGGGAAAAAAAAAAAGCCTCGGGTTGGTGGTTGTGTCCTGCAGATCCTGGGTGATGCCTGGGGGTGTATCACATTTGGCTGTCACATTTCGGGAGCTCCAGGTGGAATCAGGGTGACTCAGCCCCCTCCAGAGCCCAGGAGGCCCCACAGGGAACGCTCAGCCAGACATCTCCACAGAATGAGCTCAAGGTTCCTTGGTTTCCAGTTAGGGTCACTGCTGACCAGGACACTCACAAGCCAGGAGGCAGAGCCTCGTGGCTGTGGGACCTGGCCATGCATAAGGTCCCCTGGCTGGTCGGATAGCCCGTCTCCAACTCTGGTCTCTCGAGAGTGCCTGAATTTACTTCAGTCCTGGGGATTCAAACTCAGGTCCTCACAGGTATTAAGCAAAGACTTTATCCACCGACCCAGCTTCCCAGCTCTTCCTGATGACTCTCCTAGTAAGAAGAGCCATGTGCCCTGACCCACCACCCAGCCCTGGGACGTCACCCCACCAAAGCCCACACCTCCCACGTCCTAAGAACCACAGAGAGGCCGAGGTGGCCTGGTGAGGACCCGGAGGTGTGTGACGGGCGTCCTGCCAGTGCCCGCCACCCTCACACCTGTCACTGACATCAGTCAGCAGAGCTCTCAGTCAGCACTTACACCCAGAGCCACACCGGGGCCAACACCGCCACCAGCAAAGGGCACTGCCCTCCAGACGTCAGCTCCACAGGGCAGGAAGGGGGCATCCTCGGAGCTGAGTGGAGGACCCGCCAGAGCCGGAGGGGAGGGGACAGAAGCGGGCAGAGGCCGCCAGCTCCGGGTGTCCCCAGCTCGCCCATCCCGCCCCCCTTCCCAGAACCACCCAGCGACTCTAGAGACTTCGAGTTGTCCGGGACAGGAACAGCTCGTCTCGTCTCCTCTCCTCTCTAGCCACCAGTCTACTGCAAGGGGTCAGAGGTGAAGTTGGGGGACCCACCTGGGGGTCCCATCTATGCATGTGGGACAGCTGGGGTGTTGGGGTGCACTCCTTTGATCCCATTGCTTGGGAGGCAGAGCCAAGAGGATCTGAGTTCAAGGCCAGCCTGGACATAGCATGTTCCAGGACAGCCAGGGCCACAGAGACCTTGTCTCAAAACAAAACCAACCAACAACAACAAAAACAAAGGGAATAAAGGTGGCTTTAAATTACGAGAGTCCCAGGAGCTGCACACCCCGGGCAGGACTGGGACTGGGGACAAAGAGGGTCCCCTCCTCGGGCCCCCGGCTGCTCACCACCCACTCCAAGACACACATGCACTCTCGGGGTCGCTTGGATGGGATGGGGTGTCCCTGGCTCTGTACCGTTGGACGTCACCTCCTCCTTCCACCCATTGTCCCAGAAGCCTGTGGGACCATCAGGGTCTGTGTTTCGTTCATCCTTCTTTTTAACACAATTCTTTGACTTTTTGGGGTCAGCACGGCCGCATGAAGGCTGCGTGAGGGCCCAGGAGGGGAGATGGTTGGCGTACTTACTTTTGTTTAAGGTCTCAGGGGATGAAGGAGCCGCTGGGGGCTGGCAGGCTTGGCTTTATAGCCACAGCGCCGGCTTCCTGCCAGGTTATTAATAGTGAGGGAACGTCTTGCCCGAGTATGGTCAAGACCTGAGCAGCCGCGGACGTGGCTGGGCTGCGCGTGTGCTGGGAACACCTGTTCCTGCTTGTGACGGGCGGGGGAGGGCATGACGGCAGCATGGCGCACAGCGATGCCCTCTGACCTACAAGAGGCTAATGCCCTGGGCGGGATGTGTGCATCCCCAAACCACAAATAGAGCTCGTTGTGGTGACACTGGCCCGCCATTCCGGCCCTCGGGAGGGGGAGGCAGTACAGTACGCCGAGCGCGAGGCCAGCCTGGGCTCTGTGGACCTCCAAGTGAGACCCTGTCTCAAAACCAAAAACAAGCTGGGCGCAGTGGCCCACGCCTACGCTCTGAGACCGAGAGAGGGAGGCAGGCGCATCTCTGAGTTCCGGCCAGGCCAGCCTGGTCTACAAAGCGAGTCCAGATCAGTGAAGGCTACACAGAGAAACCCTGTCTCACAACAAAAACAATCGTCTAATTGAGACTGAACTCTTAGGCCCTTTGCCTCCAAGTCTCCCGCCTCTATGGAGCCCATAACTTGGGGTGCTTGGTTACCAGCTTGAGAGGCTCAGGGACTCACTGGCCCCTGGGGAAGGGGGTTTAAGGCACCTCACACGGGTTTGTCAGGAGCGGGCCAGACCCTGAGGCACGGGCATGCCTGTTGTCGGCTTTACCCGAAGCCGGGAGACAATCTAACGGTGTAAGAGTGAAACCCTGGTACAGAAACAATATCCTGGTGCGCACACTTGGAGCTGCCGTAGCTGCCATGCCCCCCCCCCCCCCATCCATCCTGAACATCGCTGTTCTGGAACATTCCCTGTTTGTCTGCAGCAAAACTTAGCTAACAGAGCGTGTCAAAGAAGGCTCCATTTCTGGGTCCTCCGTTACCGCATGTTCACATTTTGGGGAAAAAACAAAAAAACAAAAACAAAACACGTTGTAAGAAATGACTGTGAATGGGGCCTACGGTAACCACATTAACTTTTATTTTTGATTTTTTGAGACAGGGTTTCTCTGTGTGGCCCTGGCTGTCCTGGAACTCACTGCACACCAGGCTGGCCTCGAACTCACAGAGAGCGACCTGTCTCTACCTTGCCAGGCATGTGCCATCACACCTGGCTTCGTAAACATTTAGAAAGTTTATTTCCGCCCATGGATGGCGGAAAGCGCCAGAGCCTCGAATCTGGACCTAGATGTGGTTGCGAGGCCATGGGGTGTAAGCCTGGAACCAGTCCTCCGAGGCGCAGCCGGCCAGGGTTCCGTCGACGGCTCTCTGCTGCCACCCCGCGGCGGCCCTGCACACGGCAGCGTACACGGAACCGTAGCTGCTCTAGCGACGGGTGGCGGCGGCCGGAGCCTGGGACAGCCCGTTCCCGCCCGCTCTGCAGAACCAGCTGGAGGGACATCAGGCAGGACTCAGCTGAGGGGCCCTGACTGCTCCAGGGGCAGGAGGACATCCCAAACTGCCTCAAGCAATCCCCCTGTCTCAGCCTCTACGAGCTAGGACAGTGTCCTGCGGGCACCGCTACCCCCTGCGGTGCGTCCTGTTCAGGGCTGTGCTGTCCGGGGACCCACAGAGCTGCATGCACTGTGCGTGTGTGAACTCTGCGGTGCGGCACAGGCATGATCGGGGGTGGGGGTCGTGGGCCTGGAGATGGAGGGGGCCGCCCGCCCGCCCCGTGGAACACTCGCGGCAGTGCGTGAAAAGCAGCTTTATTCTGGGACTCGCGAGGCCGGGGTGGGGGTGCGGGGCGGCCGCCGGGGCCCCCGGGCCGCGGCCTAGCGCACGCCGCACTCGGCCTGCAGCCGCTCCTGCTCCAGCGCGCGCACTAGGTCGCGCACGAACTGCACCTCGGCGGCCACCTGCGCCGCCAGCGCGTCGTAGCGGTTTTCCAGGCGGCCCAGGCGGCGCTTCAGGCCGCCGGCGCCCAGCAGCGCCGCGCGCGCCTCCTCCTGCGCCCGCGTGCGCAGAGCCTCCGTGCGCCCCAGCTCCGTGCGGAGGCGCCGCAGGTCGCGGCCCAGCCCCGCGCTCCCGTCGCGGCAGCGCGCCTCCCGCTGCTCGGCGACCGCGCGCAGCGCGCACACGCGCTCCCGGCACTGGCGCCGGCCCCGCTGCAGCTCCCGCAAGCCCTGCTCCGCCGCCGCCACGTCCTCCAGCACGCGCGAGAAGCGCTCGAAGCTGGCGTAGCTCGTGTTGCGCGGCATGCTCGAGTGCGACTTGAGGCTGTACTCGCGCAGGCGCGCCGCGCGCAGCCGCCGCCGCTCCGGCTTCCGGGCGCCCTCCTCGCGCCTGCGCACCTGCGGGGCAGAGCCATGACAGCCGAGCCTGCCTCCCGCCCACCTGAGGCCCCGGGGGCCCGAGGCCTTACCTTGATCCAGGAGTGCTCCAGGCTCTGCGCGATAGTCATCCTCCTCCTGTGGGTTCAGGTAGGTCAGCTCTCTGGAGACTCCACCCAAGGGACCCCACATGACCCCACCAGGGCGACAAAGGTCAGGTGACCCCGCCACGACCCCAGTCATGAGTGCCTCGCCCAGGGGAAGCTGGCAGGCTTCTGCAGTGACACACACACACACACCACACCCGGCCCCTACTGCCCCAGCCCATAGGGGGCCATAGGGGGCTCGCTCCGCCGGCCCTGTGGCTTTATTCGGAGCCACGGTCACCACTGTCTGGAGGTCGCAGCTCACTGGGCCCCGAGGGTGGAAAGGCTGGGGGTGAGCCGGACACCCACCCCCCAGGAGCCAGAGGCCAGCCTGGGCTGCAGGAGACCTGCCTCCAAAATGCAACAAACCCCGCCAAACACCACAGTGGGCGTAGCCAGTCGCTGAAGCGCTGCTGCCATGGCCGCCTACTTGGGGTCTTTGACCAGCAGCCTGCGGATGAAGTCCTTGGCCAGCTCGCTGGTGCTACTGAAGTACTCCTCATCGAAGTCATAGTTGACGGCCGAGATGTTGGTCAGCGTCTCCTGCTTGGTCTCCCCCAGGAACGGGGACGCCCCACTAAGGCTGCAAGGAGACAGGGCGCATGGCCGGCGGGGAGTGGGGAGGGCGGGTGTCAGCCGAGGGGGGCCGACACCCCCACCGGCCTCACTGGTGCCTGTCATCTGTGAAGGGACCTCAGCTGAGGGACTGCCTGACTGGGACTGTCCCGTGGGCACGTCTGATGGGTGATGGGAGCGGGCTGCGGCCACTGTGAGGGACACCAGCCCTGAGCAGGTGCTCTGGGGACACCAGAAGGCTGAGCGTCCTTCCACAGTTCCTGCCCCTGCTCCCACTTCTGCCCTGACTTCCTCCATGGCCGACCCTGATGGGTGGGAAGAGTAAACCTTTTCTGCCCCAAGGTGGGTTTGGTCTGTATTTTATCACAGAAGGCAAACTGGGGCATCTCCCATCCTCCTGACTACCCAGCACGCTGGGCCCCTGTGAAAGAGAAACATCTCAGGGAAGCAGGACAAGCCCAGGACAGGGTCAACGGTGGGAACAAGCCACTGGCTAGAATCCCCAGTGAAGGCTGGGGGCGTGACCAGGTTGGAGCCCCACCTAGAATTGCCCAATGAGGACTGGGGGCGTGGTCAGGATGGAGCCCCGCCTAGAATCCCCAGTGAGGGGCTGGGGGCGTGGCCAGGGTGGAGCCCCGGCCAGCATTCCCCCATAAGAGGCTAGGGGCGTGGCTAGGGTGGAGTCCCGCCTAGAATTCCCCAGTGAGGGGCGTAGTCAGGGTGGAGCCCCGCCCAGAATTCCCCAGTGGAGGCGTGGTCAAGGTGGAGCCCCGCCCAGAATTCCCCAGTAAGAGGCTGGGGGCGTGGTCAGAGGTCCAGCCAGGGCCACAGAGCGTGAGCAGCGCCTTTCCCATTTCCCAGTAGACTTGGAGCAGGTCCCAGCCCTGACCCCGGCCTCTAGCAGGTGCAGACCGAAGTCCCTCCTGGGCACTCACAGGATGTAGGTGATGACACCGATGCTCCTGCAGGGGAGAAAAGACCGGCCAGGATGGCTGTGGCAGCACTCCTGGGACATAGGGGCCCTCTCTGTAGGCCAGGGGTTCTAGAGTGTAGTCAGTGTCAGAGGGCCGCCTGAGCACCCGAGCCGAAGCCAGGGCCAAGGATGGTGCGGCCCGGCATCCCGCCCACCCTCTCTGGCTGCAGTGGGGCTCTATCCTGCGCCCCGCCCACGGCAGCTCAAGCTGTGAGCAAGCGGAGCCCAGAGAACCGTGACAGGCTGGGGTCCAGGCAGGAGGCCCCGCCCTTCCGTAGGGACAGGGTAAGCCAGGGCCCCCGACCCCACTCACCACATGTCAGCCTCCAAGCCCAGCGGCTCGTAGTTGACGATCTCGGGGGCTGTGGGACACACGGCCAAGGAGGCAGGTCAGGTGGAAGGGGCACAGGGACAGACAGACACACACACACACACACACACACACACACACCCGGCGGTGCCCACGCCCGCCCGTCCCTCACCAACGAACTCGGGCGTGCCGAAGATGTTCTTGAACTCGCTGCCCGCCTCGATCCTGTGCGCGATGCCAAAATCGATCAGCTTGATGCGCGGGCTAGCTGCGTGCTTGTCCAGCAGCATGATGTTCTCCGGCTGCGGGCGGCAGGGGGCGCGGCGTGACCCTCGGGGACCCCGGCCCCGCCCTCCCCGCGCCCCCGGCCCGCGCGCGCCACCTTCAGGTCGAAGTGCGCGATGCGCTTGGAGTGCAGGTAGTGGACGCCGTCGAGGATCTGCTTGAGGAACTGCGTGGCCTCGTCCTCCGTCAGCGACTCCTTCTCGGCCAAGAAGTCGAAGAGCTCCCCGCCGGACACCAGCTCCAGGATCAGCACCACGTCCGTCTTGTTCTCGAACACGTCGTGCAGCGTGATGATGTTGGGGTGGCGGATCTCGCGCAGGATGCTCACCTCGCGCTCGATCTCCTCCCGGCTCACCCCGCGCCGGCTGGACGGCAGGCGCCGCTTCTTAATGAACTTGGCCGCGTACTCCATGCCCGTGCCCTTCTCCTGGCACTTGCGCACGATGGCGAACTGGCCGCTGCGGGGAGGGGGAGCGGAGGAAGCCCTCGCTGGGGTACCCAGCCTCCGTGAGGGCTCCCACGACAGCAAATCCGCCCTGGGGACTGGGGGACGGCTGGGGGAGAGGGCGCTGGCCGGGCACTGGGCACAACAGAGTTAGCTGTGGTTAACCCCAGCGCTGACCGACGGAGGACGGTCCCCGGCCGGGGAGTCCAGCGCTCAACCAGCTCCAGCGAGACAACCGCAAGAATAAAAATTAAAAAAACCAAGGTGACATAAAAATGGGGCTCCTCAGAGAGGTGTGGTGGCCACGCCTTTAAGCCCAGTACTCAGGAGGCAGAGGCAGGCGGGTCTCCGTGAGTTTAGGGCCCTGATTCAAAACAGCCGACTGGATTCAGAGGTGGGGGGTGTGAGCCCAAGCTGCAGCTTGTAATGATTTATAATAAAAAATGTATTTACAGCAAAAAAAAAAAAAAAACAGCCGACTGAGGAAGATACGTTCCGTTAGAGCAAGGCCCCTCAGACAGGAAGCCAATAGCTCAGCTCAGTCTCAAGAAGCCCCTGAAACCCCCCAGAGGCACTGCCTCCCCCCAAACACAGAACCAACGACACCCAGAAACCCAGAAACTGACACACCACTCAGGACTCTTGACTGACGCAGACCAGCCAGGCCACCCAGGGAGGATGAGGCCGCTGAGGAGCTGAGCCTGGGCTGTCTGGGTGCCCCAGGTCCCGGCTTTGGGGGCTGTCACCTGTGTGGGAAGGAGCTTTGGGGATGCAGCGGTCTTTGAGCCATTTCTGCTCCTGCAAGTGGCCCCAATGAAACTCATCAGAGGTCTCTGGTGCTGCCACGGGCTCCCTGTCAGTCTTGCTCAGGAATAGAGCCACACACCACAGTCTAAGCTACAAGACCTCTCAACAATAGCCAAATCTTACTATGTAGCCCAGGCTAACCTTGAACTCAGTGCCCCCTGGCCTCAGCCTCCCGAGGGCTGGGAAGGTGGGAGCTGCTATCACAGCCAGGTTTTAGTTTGTTTGTTTGTTGACAATTACCTTTGGTTGTTGTTCTTTTGTTTGTAAATGGGATGGAGTCTGGCCATGTAGCCCAGGCTGGCCCTTAGCTCCTGAGTAAAAGTTCTCACTCCGGCTAGGACAAGACTTCATGCATATCTTCCTACAGCCTCGATGCATGAATGTTTTAGGGAGCAGAGCCTGCCTGTCATCCTGGCATTAGGAAGGCGGAGGCAGGAGGATCAGATGTACAAGGCCATCCTTGGCTACATGGTGAGTGTGACGCCAGCCTGGGCTACATGAGACCCTGTCTCACACACCATGGAGCTGGTGAAATGGCTCAGACGGCACCAACCCTGACAAACACAAAGAGGGAGGAGAGCACCAACTCCTGCAAGCTGCTGACTCCCATGTGTGCGCGCGCACACACACACACACACACACACACACACACGCATATAAGAACTAAGCCAAGTGTGGTGGCGCACACATTTAATCCCTGCACTGGGGAGGCAGAGGCAGGTGGATCCCTGAGGCCAGCAGAGTGAGTCTATAGAGTGAGTTCCAGGACAGCCAAAATACACAGAAAAACCCTGTCTCAAAAACCTTGACTTCCGCCTCTACTCCAGCTTTCTTTTAAGAAACAAACAAAAATTGTTTTATGTATGGGTGCTCTGTTTGTATATACACCTGCACACCAGCAGAGGGCACCAGATCTTACTATAGATGGTGGTGAGCCATCATGTGGTGGCTGGGGATTGAAATCAGGTCATCAGGAAGAGCAGCCAGTGCTCCGAACCTCTGAGCCGTCTCTCCAGCCCATTGCCTCCAGCTTTGTCTGTAGCTTGGTTCTGACACATCTGGCTTCGCTCTGCCACAGGCACCTCCCGGCTGCCCAACTAGCTGACTCCCAGCATCAGGCCCTGCATGGTACCTGTGCCGCCTTCTCACGGGCTGAGCCAGAGCTCTGCCCTCCCTTCCAGAGGGTAGGAGGGAATGCAGGATGCACGAGGGTTTCCTGTGCAAGAGACCCAGGATACCCGAGGATGAGGGGTGAGGGCTGGTCACGGTAGACCCTACAGGCAACGGTAGTGCTCTGAGGACAAAACTCTAGCCCCAGCGCCAGACTCAAAAACAGCAAAACCACAAACAAGATAAACAAAAGACTGTGTGGCCGGTGAGAGCATGATGGTAAACATGCCTAGCTTCAGCTCACTGGGGCAGTGGCTCTTTGCATCCTCCAGTCATTAATGGAGGAGAATGCTGCCATGCCGCCCACTGCGTGAGGCTCCGGGCGTGCTAACTCGGGTCACACGGGCGGCCGGCGAGTCCTTCAGACCTTAGGCGCAGGAACACGGCTTCCTGGAATTGTATCAGATCACAAACAAGTCTTCCTCCAGAGACACGGGGCTGGGGGTTGCCTGCTGGGTGGGCTAGTAAAAGGCTTGCTATCAAAGCATGGGGACCGGAGTTCAATCCCCAGATCACACAAAGCCAGGGGTGGCGAAACCAGGGCACCCTGCTCCGCTTCACCCAATCCCTGAGCTCTGCCACTGAGACATGTGTGGAGGAGACTGCACAGCAGCGGCTCTGGCTGCCCTCACAGAGGACCTGGGGTGAGTCCATCACCCATATGGTGCTCACAACCCAACCGCCTCTGTAACTCCAGGTCTAGGCCACCCAAGGCCCCCTACTGGCCCCTGCGGGAACTGCACACACATGGCACACAGTTGGACATGCAAACAAAACATAGTGCAAAAGACACAAAAATAAGCCAGGTGCACCCCTGTGATCCCAGGACTCAGGGAGGCAGAGGCAGCCGGATCTCTGGGTGTTCGAGGCCAGCATGGTCTATAGAGTGAGTTCTAGGACAGCCAGGGCTACACAGAGAAACCCTGTCTCTAGAAACAAACAAAAATTAAATTTAAATTAAAAATTAGGGGCTGGAGAGATAGCTCAGAGGTTAGGAGCACTGGCTGCTCTTCCAGAGGTCCTGAGTTCAATTCCCAGTAACCGAATGGTGGCTCACAGCCATCTAATGTGAGATCTGGCGCCCTCTGCTGGCGTGCAGACAGAATGCTGTCTACATAACAAATAAATGAATCTTTTAAAAAGGATTAAGAAGAAGGCAGAGCTGCAGACGGTGGGTGAGCACAGGTGGTGTCGGCCAGCAGTCTGCCCATGCCAGTGCCCCAAACACTACAGGAAGGTTCACCTGAGTTCGGCACACGCTCATCCTCATTTGCTACAAGAGCAGCAGTCCTGTGGTCAGTCCCGGAACCACACCCAATGTGTGACTACGGAAGGCATAACCGTGCTCCCTACTTATTTCCACACAAGTTCTGCCCACGAAGGCCAGGCGGGGGCGTCCGATCCCCGGGAGCTGGAGTCACAGCTGTTGTGAGCTGCTGGGACTGAACCTGCGACCTGGGCAAGGGCAGCGGATACTGTAACCACTGAGCTCCGGCCCCACATCTTATTTTCCCCAGTCTAGGTCTCAGTGACCTTGCCATGGGATGGCCCCTTCCCACCAGGCCCCTCTCGGTGTAGCTGCAGTGTGGCTCAGGGTCCCTGGGCAGGACACTCCTCACCCTGCCTTCCAGGAGGCCTGGGTTATTTACATTCCATGCTGGTGACATCATGGGGCGGGCCCTGAGGTTCCCAGAAGGCTGGCCAGGGCAGAGCTCACCAAATAAGGTCTGAGGCCCCTTAGAAGGAGGAGGTGGGTGGTGGATGGGGTGGGGGTGGGTGCCGCCCTCCAGAGCTAGAGAGGACTGGGAGCTGGCCTGGGAGGGAAGTCCGCTATCTCAAGGAATAGCAAACGAGAAAGCGTCTCTTGAACCGTGCAAGAAGTGGGGAGACTCCAGCGTGGCCTGGTATAGAAGAACGGAAGAGAGAGGGACTAAGTCCAGGAACATCGTGTGCAGTCCCAACACCCAGGCCTGCCAGACAGGACCTCGCTCAGTCCCTGAGACCCAAACGGTAACGGAGGGTGGACTCCAGGAAGCTGTGCTGTGCCCAGCACACACACACAGCACACAAACACACGCACACACAATATAATAATTCCATAAAAGAAGTTCAGCCTGGGGTACCTGAGACATTGCCTCAAAAACAAAAAACCAAACAAGGCCAGACGTGGTGGCACGAGCCTTTAGTCCTGGCGCGTGGAAGGCAGAGGTAGGAGGCTCTCTGTGAGCAGCGAGTTCCAGACCAGCCAGGAATACATAGACTGTCACCCAGTGCTCTTGGGCTCCTTCCCTGGCATAGGCACAGCAGCTCCAAGTCTCCATGTCGCCCCACAGCTCAGGCACAGAGAACGCCCGAGAACAGCATCCTGGGGTCTGAAGCCCAGAGTGCGGCCGCCAGCACAGTCTATGCCCACCGCCTCTAGACAGAGGGCACGAAGGGTGGAGGCGTTGATGACAGCCCCTCCCGCCCGCCCCACCCCAGCTCACCTGCCCAGCTCCTCCCCCATCTCATAATGCTCCTCCACGTCCTCCTGCCTGAACGTGGCCATGGCGGCCGGCTTGCGCAGGACTCCGGGGGCCGGTAACTGAGGAAACAGAGAAGAGGAAATGCTCATCAGGGAGGGGGCCCACATCTCCCAGGAGGGGTGGGCACCCAATGCCCCGACCCCGGGCCTTCTGGAGTCAGCTAAACACCCCACCCCGATTTTGGCATGGCAGAGCAAACCTGTCACAGCAGCACTGGGGAGGGGAAGGCTGGGAGATCAGGAGTTCAGGGCCATCCTCAGATACTTAGTGAGCTCCAAGCAAGCCTGGGCCCAGAGCCCACCTCAAGCATGGGTGTGTGCACCGCTAGGCAGGGGCTGAGGGCGGGGTCAGATGTCAAGAGTGCGGCTGTTCTTGCACTGTCCTGCGTTTGGTTCCCAGCGACTGTACCGGTTGACTCACTAGTACCCACAACTTCTGTGCCAAGTGATCTAACACGCTCTTTCGGCCACTCAGTACCCACCGTCGCTGAGACACCCCACTCAGATACAAGCGCGGATGGAACTAAAGAAGCGAGAAAAACACCTCTCAAGCAGTACATACATACGTACACAAACTACAAAGAGCAGAAAGTAGCGGCATGTGCCCTACCGTCAGCCCAGCACTCGCGAGGCTGAGGCAGGAGGACTGTCGTGAGTTACGGAACAGCGTGGGGTTCTCTACTCTCAATACTCGGCCATAGCCTCTAGCTTTGGGGGACCCTATTCCTCACCTGTCAATCATGCCCACCGGCACCCTGGAACTCAGGGGTGGTGGCGAACCACGCGTGCGCAGCAGCAGTGCCGGTCCTAGAGGTCCGCCTCTCCCGGCTTGAGCGTCCCGAGTGCGCCCCGTGAGTTCCCTCCCCTGGCTCCCGCCCTCACCGGGTGTCCCCCGGATCCCCGGCACGCAGCCCCGGCCTCGCCCTGGCCCCTCCGTACCGTCCTCCGCCTGCGAGTCCCCGCCCGGTGCCAGCGTAGCCCCCGCGAGCTCCTCCTGCGCAAGTCCCCGGAGGCGTCCACGCATGCGCCGACCGAGCTGCGCCCCGCCCCGCGAGGCCCGGAAGCCAGTGCTTATTGGCTGAGGGCTCGACGCGGAAGCCGGAAAACACCGCTCACTGGCCGGCACGCCGCCCAAGAGCGGAAGCGGATGTTGGCCGCCGGGCGTCGCGCGACGGCCATGCCGGGACGCAGCACTCATTGGCCCGCAGGGCTAGAGGCGGCCCTGCACTGCTGTCTCCACGCTCTCCCACGATTGGCCAACGCAATGAGGGCTAAGGCCTGCGCCCTGTAACGCGCAGACCCCGGCACTGCATGTTTGGCGGGGTCAGTCCTGGCACAGGAAGCTGGAGGGGTCACCAGGGTGCGCAGTGGGAAACGGGTCGACACAACAGGGCCCTGCAGGTCAGCCCCAACAGGCGAGCAGGGAAGCCTTGGGGCCCCGGTGGAGCAGGCGCAGCACAGGATAGAGAGCTCAGGGTGGGTCAACCAGATGAGTTTATTACTCCAATGGCTCACACAGACAGGGCCCCAGGCTTAGCGCAGGCAGTCAGCCGCCTGCCAGGAGGTACCAACCCGGGCTCCCTAGGGGAATTCCACAAGGCCATGAACCCCATAAACCTCTGAATGCATTTATTTAGACTTTTGGACATCCGATAAAGAGCTGAGCGTCCCGCCCACCCCACGGCCCGCCAGTCCAGCCTGCGGGAGGGATTCGCCTGCTGCCGTGTAATTCCAAAATAAATAGAATTGGCATCAAGTGTTGTTAGTGCTGAGCGATGGCAGGGGAGCCCCAGCAGCCTCCAGAGCGGCACTATGGGGACAGTCTCAGGGTGTCTTCTGATGGGCGGGCACTATGCCATGTGGCCGCCTACAGTTTGTCGAGGAAGTTGTCCAGCGCAGGGATGCCCTCTTTGAGACCTTTGCGCTTTCGGGTCTCAGCCACGACCTGGCTGGGGCGGCTGCTGTTGTCAAATGGGTCCCCAGGCAGGATCTGCCAGTGGTCGAACACACACTGGGGGAAAGCCTGGCCACCAGTGTTGGAGCGGAGGTCGGCCGTGAAACCTGGACGGAAGGCAGGGTGCTCAGAAACAACCCTAGGCCCCAGGCCTGTCTCCCCGCTGCCTGCCCTGGGACTTTTCGGTTTTAAAACATTTCTCTGTGCAACCCTGGCTTTCAGGGAAGCCAGGCTGGAACTGAACTCACAGAAATCTGTCTGCTGCGCCCCCTCCCCTACATAATAAGTTTTCAGCTTTGCCCACGCACCTGCAAACCTCAGGGACCAGAGGCCTGGGACAGAAGACTGGCAAACACTCACCGAATGACTCGTTGACAGGCAGGTACGCCTTGACCACGAACATGGGGGTGCCAGCCACTTGGGACTCCTCAAACACATGGCCACGCTTTCTGTTGAGGACACCGTAGATGCCGCCCACCACTTGCTCGGGACACTGGATCTCCACCAGGTAGATAGGCTCCATGAGGCGGGGCTGTGCAGTGAGCACGCTGGCGTAGAGGCAGCGGCGTGCCGTGGGGATGATCTGCCCACCGCCACGGTGGATGGCGTCAGCATGCAGGGTCACGTCGTGAACGTCGAAGCGCACGCCACGCATGTTCTCCTCACAGAGCGCGCCCTGGAGAGGAGTGGGCAAGTCAGACCCCAGCCACAGCCCGGCAGCCCTCGGGAAGGCAGGACACCCCAGCTGCAGCCACTCACCTCCTTGGTGGCCCACTGGAAGCCAGCCACCACACTGTCCTTGATCTCATTCAGGTATTGCACACCCTTGGTGATGTCAGTGAGGATGTTGGGTCCGGTACCATCGGGCCCAAAGCACCAGATCTTGCGGGCTTCAGCCACATCCCACTCGTACTTCTCAGCCAAGTAGCGTGCACGCGCCTTGAGCTCCTGGCGGGCAGACACCTCCCCCTTGTCGATGTCCTCAGCCAGGCCATCAGGGAAGGGCCTTGCCTTCATGTACAGCCTGTTGTGCTTGTTGGGGGACTTGGACAGACACAGCACATTCGACTCCTCGCTCACCGTCTCCCGGTACGAGACAACAGGGTCGGATTTCTGCACAAGGGACACAAGCAGCAGCAGCAGCCCTGTCAGTAAACGGAAGAGCTTCCAAGCTTCCAGGCAGGAGGCCAGTGTGCAGAGCGGCCTGCGGCTGGGGGGCGGGGGGGTGGCAGTTGGGACAGGAGTGGGCCCACCTTGATGGGGATGCAGGCGTGGTCCTCCTCCAAGTCCTTGAGGCAGATCTCCAGGTGCAGCTCCCCCGCGCCAGCGATGATGTGCTCCCCAGACTCCTCAATGATGCACTATGGGAACAGTGGTCAGCACCCCGCCTCGCTCCCCGGGAGCACTCTGCCCCCAGGCCAGCAGCTCCTGCCTGCCCCGGGCCTCCCTCCTAAAGCAGGCACACCTGCACCATGGGGTCGGACTTGGCCAGCCGCTTCAGCCCCTCCACCAGCTTGGGCAGGTCGGCGGGGTTCTTGGCTTCCACCGCCACCCTGACGACAGGGCTGACGCTGAACTTCATCACGCGCATGTTGTGAGCGTGCTCGAAGGTGGTGATGGTCCCCGTCTTCACAAGGAACTGGTCCACACCGACCAGCCCTACGATGTTCCCGCAGGGCACGTCCTCGATGGGCTCCACGTAACGGCCCATCATCAGGATGGTCCTAGAGGGAGGCAGAGTGTCAGCAGAGCCACCACGAGCAGCCAGGGCTCGGGTCGCACAGGGGCAGTGCCCACCTCTGGATGGGCTTCAGGTACAGGTCCTCTTTCTTCCCAGGAGTGTAGTTAGGGCCCATGATCCGGACCTTCAGGCCTGTGGACACCACCCCGGAGAACACTCGACCGAAGGCGTAGAAGCGGCCCTTGTCTGAGGTCGGCACCATCTTGGAAATGTACATCATGAGAGGGCCTTTGGGGTCGCAGCTCTTAATACCTGTGAAGAGGCGGCATTCACGTCACCCTGGTACACATGGTGGCCCGAGGAAATCCCAACGGCTAACCCTAGGCCACCTACCCATGGCGGCCTCATCGTCAGGGGGCCCCTCGTAGAGCAGCTCGCAGCGATACTTCTGCGCAGTGACTGGGGATGGCAAATGGATGGTGATCATCTGCAGAAGGGCATCGCCTGCAGGCAGCCAGCGGCGCATCACAGCCTTGAGCAGGGGCTTGCCCTCCTTGTCCTTGTCCTCGCTGTCCAGCTTGATGTCCAGCTTCTCGATCAGCTTGGCCGTCTCCTCCTTCCTGAAGTTCATGATGGCATCGAACACCTGCTCCAAAGACCCAAAGGATCAGGTATGGGGAGCTGCTTCCCAAGCGAGAGGGACCCCACAGGCATGCTTCCCACAGACCCACCTTGAAGATGGGATCCAGAATGAGCTGGCAGAAGGTACGGGGTAGTTTCTTGCCGTCAGGGCTATTGGCAGACTTGCTGAACTTGCCGTTGGCGGGGTCAAAGTACCTTGCAGAAAGAGAGTGCACATAGGACCGGGCTGCCCAGGGTGCTGGGAGGGGGGAAGAGCATGCACACCCCCCAGTACTTACCGGTCCCCCCACAGCTTCTTCATCATATCCTCCACTTTTTTGGCCCTCTCGGCCGGCCCCAGCTGGCCCTCGCCCTTGGCTGCAAACTTGGCTACATACATCTCTGCAAACTGCTTCAGAGTGAATGCCCAGCCGTGCAGGCCAGAGCCGAAACCTACGGTGCCCAGGACGGGGTCAATCTGAGGAAGGAGAACAGCGCTGAGCTGGGAGCATCCCAAAAGGCAGCCCAGGCACAAGCCCCACAGCCTCAGACAGTGAGTTTCTTCAACAGACATCAGGTCAAAGTGAAGAATTTCCGTCATCATGCGTGGTGCAGGGATTCCCAGAGCCCGCCCCGCCCGGCCGGCTCCGCACCATGATATTGCCCATGGGCCCGCTCTCGCCCTCGCCGTAGGTGGAGATGATGACGTTCACGTTCTCCACGATGCGCTGGAAGGTCTGGTAGAGCTCCTCGGGCTCCAGCTGCAGCTCCAGCAGGGCGCGGTCCATCTTGTTCATCATGAGCACAGGCTTAATGCGCTCCGCGATGGCCTGCCGCAGCACGGTCTCCGTCTGCACGCACACGCCTGGTCAAGGGGGGAATGGCTAAGATGTCGGCGAGCTCAGGGAAGCCAGATCAAATGCCCAGAGCTGCAGCTACAGGGTCGGGAGCTGGCCAGCAAAGCAGCGAGCAGTTCCTCCCTCCTGCTGAGCTTTCTGAGGGGGCCTGTGGGAAGGTGCGCCCTAGAACTGTAGCCACAGAAGGTTGTCACAGGGACAACAGAGGCCCCCAAGCACTGACATCTTTCCTGACAGTGTCCCATGACTCAGGTTCTCTGCCTCAGCCCTGTGGGCTGGGTAGCAGGCACCAGCACACCTAGCTGGCTTTCATTCACAAGCCCCGCAAATGCAGCATGTGGGGAGTCAGAGGAGTGCCAGCTGGAGGACGAGCCCGCTTACCAGACACGCAGTCCACCACCACCAGAGCCCCATCGGTGACACGCAGAGCGGCGGTCACCTCCGAGGAGAAGTCCACGTGGCCTGGGGAGTCGATGAGGTTGATAAGGAAGCCCGAGCCATCCTTGCTCTGCTTAATGAAGTTCAGGTCGTTCTCCGACAGCTCGTAGAAGAGGGAGATGGCACTGGGGTAGGAGGGGGACATCAGCGCGAGTGGCCGCAAGAGAAGCCAGCCCTGCTCTGCTGTCTTCAACTCCCTGTCCGCTGGGGGGAGGACCCGGCCCTAGGGCCGCATTCCACAAGCCCCCTAAACACCACCATCTGGCACTGGGCAGGCCCGCCCCTCCCCCAGAGCTGGAGCTGCTTACGTGGACTTGATGGTGATGCAGCGCTCCTGCTCGTCCTTGCGCGTGTCCGTGAAGCGGGTCTCCCCC